TTTTCATTTACTTTTTCCTATATTTAAAAGTAATTTTTAAATTTTTTTTAATAAAAATTTAAATTTATTACTCATAAATATTATAAAAATAAATAAATATTTTTACAAACTAACCCAAGCATCCTCAAGTAAAACGACAACAACAGAAATAGTAATAAACCTAATCCTGCTTAGCTCCCAACTCAGCCACCAAGTCAGCATGTCGACTCCAACATGGCAACCACGTGGCATCCACCTCAGCTCCATATAGGTTTCCTCATATCAAACTGCCATCTGGGTTTGAAAAATAACCAACAAAAAAGGGGGTAATTTCTCAACTGAAATTCATTCCAGTGCGGCACCAGCTTAAAGCCCAAACCTTTATAGTATACTAGAAACAATCGGAAATTCCATTAAAAAAAAAAAAAAAAAACAGCGGGAAAATAACCAAAAAGGAATGAAATTTATGCATTTTTTCTCAGGCAAGACATGTATTCAAGGGAACCCTTTCTATATTAGTGAAGGAAGATTGAAAAAAAGGAAGTTGAATTCTGAGGAGATCATTTATAAACTCTAAATTTGTGTATATGAAAGCTCAAAGATAATTCACTTCCGGTGTGAACAGGGAACCGTGTTTAACTGAATTAACGACACACTGAAAAATACAAAAATTCCTCGGGGGACTTCGAGAATGGAGTAATATGGGTATAATTCACATGCAAGTCCCCCAAGGAATATTTGTTTTCACATATCCCAGAAAAAATGATATTATTATTATTATTATTATTATTTTTGCCTTAAAAGGATATGGTTACTGAAAAGAAAATATTTTGATAGTTTATGGAAACATTAAAATCAATACTTGGTTTATAAATAGAATGGATGGAAGGAATTAATGATGGGGCAAGCAAGATACAGCAGTATATTTATTTCTTCCTTGACTCCGATTAATCTTTCTCTTTTCTCATAATCGATATTAAGGGTGCCTTAGGGATAATTAAGTACGTCTTAATCTTACCTAAATACAAAAAAAAAACTCTATCCTATGGTTGTTACGGATATTAAACCGCCTACAGATAGAGGAGGCAAAAATGGAGGATGCTAATTGATTACCAACAACCAAAAGACATTGCCATGAATTCCCATAATCTGAACTCTCTGTAAAATTAGGATTGGGGTGCAATTTTATTTCTCCAATCCCTGTGGAGCCCCTCGGATCCTTCCATGGGCCGGCGGCAGAGACATGGACATTTTTTCCTCTGAAATTTCGTCGAAAATTTTCCACTCCCTACGGGCATTCTGCTCCCACTGAAATATTAAAAAAAAAAAGTTATTGATTCTAACTTATTATTATTTAAGGCTATTCGATATTAATTTTAACCCAATACTAAATTCAATTATTACTGCTTTAAAAGTAAACTCAATCTAGGAATGTTCTTATGACCCAGTGATCACCTCTCTATTGTAAAGAATTTTTCATATTAAATTTAATAAATGTAAGATTCGAATCTCACCTTCAAGTTCAAAAACCAAAAAAAAAAAAACAAACTCAACCCATTACATTTCATCTTAACTCTTTAAAATAGTTTGTTTCAAGATAATAAAACTCGTCTCATTGTTTTTCAATGGAAATACATATGGCGGAGAATAATTTTTCCATCATCCCACCCCATACCGAATTGTACGAGCTTAATATCATTATGATTATCTAATTTATATTTTAAAAGTATATTCATTATATTTTTTTATTAATTTATATAAAAAATACAAATTAACTTATTTTTAACACAAATAACAGGTGTAGAATATAACTTAAACAACTAATAAAATAAAAATTAATTTTTTGAT